AAACAACGTACAACAATACGAAACAAATAGGAATAAATATATAATAAAGCATTTCCTTCATCAGCTCGAATCCAGACATTCGTGTGAGAAGAAATACATTTATATATTAATAGTAGTATATATTTTATATATATATATATTTGTTGCAGTATATATTATATATATTTGTTGCAGTATATATTATATATATATTTGTTGCAGTATATATTATATATATATTGCAGTATATATTATATATATTTGTTGCACACATTGAAAGTATATATTCACTGTTACACTTTCTATATCTTCCTGTTTGCACATTGCTCCGGTGGTGTATATCAGGTGTACTCGGTGTTATTGCTGGACGTATGACCTTGTTATAATAAAATCCCCATGATTTATCTAAATTGGGACATTTGTATCATTTTGATATCATATTTTTCAGTCCTGTCAGTCGTATCTTTTTGTGTCATTGCACAGCCAGGCTTGTTATTCCAAATCTCGTAGTATGTCGGTGGTCTTCACATGTATAATGATACCCTGTAGAATGCCCACCGTCGGGTCTCATACCTGCAGACCGGATAATTCCGTCTCCTATTCTGACAAATGTCTCCCAGCCAACGTTCAGTATGTGTGCACGCCATGCTTGCCAGGCGGCATACAGACAACGTGACAAGCCCTGACACATCCTGCTGTATTATTGTATGTATGTGTGTATTATATAAAGAGCGATTATAAGCCTTGTTTAACATGTGCCCTGTACCCTGTGCCAGGCGGAGCGGCGGCCTGCGCCCAGATCCGAGACCTTCTCCGAAACTTTTCCTGAAAATATGTTTAACTTTGTTTATTTTTATTTTTTTCTCTCTTCGCCCCACCGTGCTTGTTTAGCCGCCAAGAGGCAAGATGGAGGAGGCCTGTTCAAGAGTCCGGCTTACCCCGGATACCCGTTCATCATGATCCCGGACTTGAGTAGCCCCTATCTGCCCAACGGGTCGCTCTCCCCGACGGCTCGGACAGTAAGTGCCTCCTTTATGGCTGCTCGCTGTGGATACAATGTAGCTTTGTGCTTGGCAGCAGCACGCTCACCCGCTAGTGATTAGGCTGCAGCTGCTGCTCGTCATGTCTTATTTAAAGGACCACTATACTCCCCCCCCAAGTCAGAAACAAACTGCGCTAGAGGCGTCATGTCAAAGAGCCTCAATAACATTCGCTGCCGTGGACGTTAAAAGGTTGGTGCGAGACCGAAATAGCTGATGCAGCCGGCGTAGCGGTGCTCAAGCTGCCACCGGCACTAAAAATTCGATAGTTGGTCAGGCCTTTTCTGTGGACAGGAAGTCAGCTGTGCGCGTTGGATAATCTGTCTCCCTGCCAGGGCACCTCGCCTCTAAATATCTTCCATTGAAGTCCTGGCATATATTGCTTTTTTAATTCATTTATGTCCGGTGTCAGCTCATGGTGACCCCAAAAGCACCCCCAGCACCTGAACAGCAAGTGACCAGAGATCTGTCCCAAAAAAGCTTGCAATCTAAAACGTCCCCCAACTTGAATGTTATTAAAGCTTCTTTTGCATAAATATAATAGAAGTATCATTCCCTCCGTGTATGGTGGCCCTTTAGACAGCGTTTTGCACCCTGTGTGGCCAGCACGCTTGAACTTGTGGTTCCCCACTGGCAGCTGGAGGGGCACAGGATGCAAAATGCTTTTTATTTATTTTTTAAGTACATATTTTACGTTCATTTTATGCTTTTGTTTTTTTTTTTGTGTCTGTTTTATGCCGAGAGTTTGACACAATCCTGTTTTTTTATTTATTTATTTTTTATTTCTTCATTTGATTTGATTTTCTTCTTCTCTCTGGGGCTGTCGTAGGTTTGTTTGTTTACTTTTATGTTCTGCTTCTTGCCTCGATTCATTTAGGATGGCAACTTTTGCTATTACCATTATTATTAATTTGCTCTCTTCTATGTCAACTGCAACTTTTCAGTTCTCAGGGAACGGGGAAAAAAGTGGCATTGCTCCCTGCTGTATGGAATTCGTTTTGTTTTTTTTGACGCTTCTTTCCCCCTCCCTTTCCCCC